GAATAAATGATGCCTAATAGGCATTGAATTAGAAATTGCATCCATGAAAGGGAAGCAAAATGGAGTATTGGAAAAAGACCGAGGCAAGGAGTGGGGAGAGCTGGGCTCTACTCTATTCAATTTGTCAATGGAAAAGTGATCTGGATTTAAAACTCTACAGCTGCAAAGTCAGAACACCGTGGAACCAATAGCCATGATCCTAGAGCTCTAGATTTCTAAAGTCTTAATTTTGGAGAAAGTACCCAAGTACATAATGAGTTACTCAAATATGTTTTGACTTATTTTTTAATTATTTTTTTAAATATTTATTTATGAGAGAGAGGAAACAGAGTATGAGTGGGGGAGGGACAGAGAGAGAGGAAGACACAGAATCTGAAGCAGGCTCTTGGCTCTGAGCTGTTAGCACAGAGCCCAATGTGGGCCTCAAACTCATGAACCACGAGATCATGACTGAGCAGAAGTCAGACACTCAGCTGACTGAATCACCCAGGCACCCCTGTTTGACCTATTTAAGTGAAAATACACATATGAAGATATGTTAATTATAATGAATTTTAAGGGATTTTACAAACATAAATAATGGATAGTGCAAAGAAGGCAGATACATGAGCTGCTTCTAGGAAAAAAGAAGTCTCCAGAAGAACACTAAATTTCAGTCAACAATTTATACTGAACTCTACCTGGGCAACAAGAGCAAAAGTTAAGGAAAATAAATGCATTAAATAAATAAAATACATTATTTCAGTATGTTGTTATGTTGACTAAGCCATAATTACAACTGTCGATTTAACTAGCAATGCTTCTATTTGAATCAAATTCTGAGCATGTCTCTCCATCCTACTGATCCCACTCCTACTATGTGTTGGCACAAATATGCACCAGCTCGCATAAGCTCACAAGAGCAAACTGGTGGCATCTCTTCCTGTTCTGAGTTCAATAATGTCTTGTTGGTAGCTTGAAACCAGCTATGACAATATTTACGTCACAGAAAAAGTGGCACATGCTACACATGAGGACTTTTGTTTCATTTGGTATCTAGTTTCTAAACATTTACTAACATACCACTCCCTGCTTCCAAGAAACAGCTTCCTCAGACAGTGTCTTCTTTTTCACTTCGATCTCAAAATATTTATGGCCGTGTTATAAAAGCATATCATTTTTTTAATTCCAGTGTAGTTAACACACAGTGTTATATTAGTTTCAGGTGTACCATATAGGGATTCAACAATGCCATATATTATTCAGTGCTCATCAAGATAGATGTACTCTTAAATTTGTTATTGCCTTATAATTGCCATAATGTGGGTCCAATTCAGACTTCAGGGGGAAAAAAAAAGAACTAGGACTAGGACTAGAAAATAATCCTAGGTTAATTTGAACTATTTCGTATGAATTAGCCATTTGACTTTGCTGGGGCTAAAGTAGCGTGAGGTTCCAAAAATGTTTGATTGTCAATATGTGGTGAGGATCCTAAAAGTAAAATACACAGGAAATCACTCATGTGCTTACATCCTGCCAGTGGCCCCACTGTAAGGAATAAATTTGACCTTTACAGTGACCTTCATGACAAAATATATTTTGGCTCCTGTTCATATTCACCTGTACATTGTTCTAGTATTCATTCCTTTCACTCTCACTTCCCTTCCTGGTGTCCCCCACCTTTTATCTGATCCTCTTATTCATCCAGCTCATTCCAGTCTAGCATCCAAGATGTGTGCAGTACTATTTTCCCAGTTCTCCTCCTTCCTTCTTCCTCTTCTTCTTCCCTTCCCTTCCCTTCCCTTCCCCTTTTTTCTTTGCCTTTCATTTTTCTTCCTTTCTCTCTCTCTCTTTCTCTCTCCCTTTCTCTGTCACTTGCTGTCTCTCTCCATCTCCATCTTCATCTTCGTATCTCTCTTCTACCCCATTCTTTTTCTCCCCATCATGATTTAGCTCTATTTTCCAACCACAGAAAACTATTTTCCAACCACTCTATACAAAGTGGGACACCCCCTTCAGTGACTGTGTAGATTCTTACCCAATTTATTTGCTTCTTACACTTGTTCCTGTATGAAACCATCCTACTTATGAATTTGTTAACTTTTGTTGTGTCTTCTCATGGTTGACTATAATATTCAAGAAAGCAGGAATTTTTAAATCTCTTATCCACTTGTGACTATTTTGTCCCTTTAATGGTGCTTGGCCCAGAACAGCTATGACTGCAGGAAAGAAGGAAGGAAAGACGGGAGGGGAGAGAATTTAGCATCTTGGCCTTGATTTGAAGGGGTTAAGGTACTGAAATGTTGAGAACTTCATTAATAGGCAGCTTTACTTATTAAAGAAGGTCCTCTTCGTGGACTATGGAGACAGCATGAAATAAAAGCTTCAATGAAGAAGTCAACCTAGCCAAAACCTGCAAATACGCAGCTCTATTTTCAGGCATGAGCTATTTGCTGGAGTTTAGCCATGGACATATGAAAGGTTAGAACTGTTAAATATTAATATCTGGGGCTTTCAAAACAAAGACAGTAAAATTTATCCAAAGCATCTGATTTGTAGTCCACTCTATTTTGTGAGGTTTTATGGATGTATAACACAGGATACTGGTCTGTGTACTTGACGCTTGATGCTGAATGTAATAGATAGTGAATAAGGAAGCATCCAGGAAGGAAGGCGAAATCAATAGGCTTATTTCTCTAAAGGAATATTGTAGACCAAGGCCGTTTGGTTTTATTCCTTTTGGCAGAGCATTTGAAATAATTTGATGCTCAGCCCATGGATTTAAAAATGTTTTTAAAGCACAATCTCAGCATCCAGTTAATTCAAAGACAAATTGTTTCTGAGACCACTGCTGGTAGGTCTAGGACAACCCAGGACATACTGCTTTATCCAACATTAACTTAGTAGCTGGAAAAATATCAAGATATACTTTCTAAGGCTTTGGGAGCTGTTATTTCACTGGCTCCTATTGATTTCATTACTATTATTCCTGAAAACATATTGCATGTGCAATGTATAACTTGTCTCATCTGCCAGGTAGAAAAACATAATTTTTGTGCTTGAGGATGTTATAACTGGGAAATTAAAATCACACAGAAAAAACATTATGTGGATGTAGAGATGCAAAGAACATTATCTTGCCAAACACAACTTTGGTTTTAAAAAGAAGGAAATTATACAAGCAAATACATTGGAGAAGTAATTAAGAGGACTTTGAGTCTTCTTTCAGTCAGGTGTTCCATGTTTTGGGTATTTAGAAGAGAATTAAATTTAGAATAATCTCCAATATTTCCAGGACTTCATTTTAAGGTAGAAGCAGGGTTCTACTGTAATGCTCTTTTGACTATAACAAAGTTCTGTGGCAGTGAAGGATATGATATATAGTGAGGTTCAAGTCTGTTTGCAAATATCCTGGATACTCTCAAGCATAAAACATAAAACTTTATGATGACAAGAGCCTGTAATTGTGTCAGAGCCTCATTACATGTTGTAGACAGCAGGGACAATGAAAGGAAATTTAAGTAATAATCACAGCATAGTATTCTGAAGTAAGTAATACAACTCAAAAAAAATTCTTAACTTATTCTCAAACTGGATGTCTTTATGGAAATAGGACTAGCTCTTTCAATTTGATGTTAGTCTGTTAAACCAAACACAGGTTCAGCTTACCCAAATAATTTACGAATGTTACCCTAATTAATGATTCTTTGAACACTTTAATAGGCCAACTGTTTGACATCTGGGAAATAATGCTCTAGCTATTGGGGGTACAGAGACTTGTATAGAATTTGATTAATCCATGAAATTTACCCTAGTTAGTCCCTGTTCTTTGGGGTTCCCTCCTAATGAAGGCTAGAGAATTTAGGGGATTAAAAAATGCCAAAACAAAATAAAATGTCTGATTCACTTCCAATACCATCACCTGCTCCCTTGTACCCACATCCCTCAGGCTTCTGTTGTGATATATTTTCCCTTTGAGGTCCCCACTTGTGTTCCTTTCAAAGCTGATTTCACCGAGGTAAATATCAAAGACAGATGAGAAGATAGCAACATGAGTTACACATGATAGTTTTCTTCCAAAGGGCTAGCCCTGAGTCTATTATATGTCTCAGTAGATTTTGCTTCTAAAGAACCTTACTGTGCTTTCCATGGCCTTTTTTTCCCAACCCAATGCCCTATCCAACCTTGATACCTTGCACAGCCCACAGGGAATCTGGGAAATTCCTAATACTAATTGACATGATTTGAATATGCAAGAATAGTAAACAGTCATGTGGAAATGACTCTGTATGGTCAATGAGAAGGTTTAGTTATTCCTGTAAGCAACAGTATTTCCATAAATATATCTCAATATTATAAAGAATTCAGGATAAGTAACCATGATCATTTACAAAAATATATACAGTTATGGGGGCTTTTTTTTAATGTGAAAAAAAAAAGAAGCTTGAAAAGAAATATTGACAGTGATATAGCTTGAAGCAGCAGTAGGTAAATGGCGCCATGCAAAAACAAAACAAAATACAACAAAACAAACAAAGCAACTTGCCCACTGTACAGACTGAATCCTGCCGCCTTTGATTATTTTCCCATTTTTTTCCTATACTCAGAAATATTCTTCCAAAAATATTGTATGGATCCTTAAATGCCTAACCACCAACAGTTATTAGTATGTCATAATTGATTTATACCATGAAAAAAGTAACATCTAATTTTTCCCAAGAATAGTTCACAGAAAAGTAGTAAATATGTATCAGTACTCAGTGATGTTATACTTCTTTTTCATTTCACTTTTTGCCAGAAGATGTATATTTAAAATTCAAGTAAAATGCTTCTTTGGCAGTAGGTCAGCATCTTCCCAATGAAGAGCCCATTGATGATACAGAATAGAACTTCCTTTCCCCCTTGAGTAGAAGGCTGCCTATTATTCAGTGTCCTTTTTGTCACATTGAAGAACAGGGAACTTTTTATTCTTTCCAAGAAATGCCCTTTCAGATTTAGTAACAACATGTTCTGTTCCTCAGGAAATAAGAGAAGATCGAGATAGGGCGCGGCTAGACTCCATGGTGCTGCTAATTATGAAACTGGACCAACTTGATCAGGACATTGAGAATGCCCTCAGCACCAGCTCTTCTCCATCCGGCACACCAACAAACCTGCGGCGGCACGTTCCTGTGAGCTTTCCTCTTTTTCACTTCTTTTCCCATGAGAATGTTACCTCTTTATTTCATACAGTGCCTCTTGCAGATGAAACACCTCTGATGGTAGCACTACCTACCTAAATGTGGCCCTGATACTGTTCCACAAAGATCGCTCAAATAATTCTGAGCTTCGTGCAATATTATTTAAAAGAGAAGTGTGCTTAAAAAGGAAATTATGAGCTAGACAAGAAAGAGAGTCACCTGGGGAAATTATGTTTCATAGAGATCAAATCATCTTTATTGTAGTTGTTTCTCTCATTATCAGTCTTCTCTGACATCCTATGAGCACCATTAGCAATGCTATGTCTGTCTCGTTTAATATTTTTTTCTAATATTTCACAAATTTACATTGCACGTAGGAGATGCTTAAATATTTGCTGCATGCACACACGCATGCATGGATGTTTGGGTAGATGGTGAGTGGATGAATGGATGCTGGACTAACCCGGCATACTACAAGAAATAATTTATATGAGATTAACGTGAAAACACTCTAAAATTCACTCCATGAAATACAGTGAATAGGACAGAGGTGAGAGTTTCATTCTACACTGCATTAATTTCTTATAAGACAGACACTCATCTGAGATTCTGACATTCAAAATAAAATTTGAAAGGCGGATTCCAGGACTGAGTATGCACTTTACATATTTACTCTATATTAAATGGCTTAGTTTGTACAGATCTAGCAAATGTGATGGTAGATTTGCTTATAATTAAGCCATAAATCCCTTTTCAATTAATCTGTTACTTTTGCTATGCAATAATCAATACATTAAGTCAAGAGATTATATATTTACCTAAGATCAAAAGGGTGTAAAATCCTATACATAAATTGGAGCAGCTACCAAAATAGAGCTATTCTGCATCAAATTCTCTAATTAGTATAGCTCTATCATTGATTCTGAAGTGATTCAAGACTTAGTTCTGATGATGGGGCAGAATATTTCAAAGTAAATGAACAAATTAAAATGATAACTAACCTTGGTATATGCTAGGTATGGTTTTAAATGATTTATGCATATTAGCACATTCATTCCTCACATTTTTCAAATGAGTGAAAGACAGAGAAGTTAGTAATTATATGCGTCAAAGCTGGAGTACGTACCCAGCGAATCTTCATCTCAAGCCATGCCATTTAACCGCTACACCACACTGCGTTCTCTAGCTGACCATCTTGGGAATCCTATAGCTTAAGCAAATGATAGATGATAGATTGACGTAGAGAGGGAGAGGAAGGAATGAAGGAAGGGGAAGGAAGGAGAGAGGGAAATAAATTAGATACTTCAACTTAAAGCCAGTAGAATGAAATTTTCGTTTTTGTCTGTGATCTTCTGGATAATCATTTCTTACCCTTTAGTATTCATCTCAAATTTTCTTTACAGTGAAATATTGCCCTAAGCTTCTTCTGTCTTTCCAGAAAGAATCAATTACCCCTTCTCTGGTGCTGCTATAGTGTCTTGTACATACTTTAGTAGGACAGGATCCCAATGGAAAAACTAATATCAAAGTAACCTGAAGACCAACAAGAAGGGGTGTTTTAATCTTTTTTACATATGAAAAGTGTGTAGAATCTTTATACTCATTTCTATCATTTTTAAAAACAGAAATAACCCAGGGTGCCTGGGTGGCTCAGTCAGTTAAGCCTCTGATGTCAGCTCAGGTCATGATCTCATGGTTCATGAGTTTGAGCCCCGCATCGGGATCCATGCTGGCGGTGTGAAATCTGCTAGGGATTCTCTCTCCCTCCTTCTCCCTCTCTCTCCCTATGCTCCTCCCCCAGTTTCCTCTCTCTTTCTTAAAATAAATTTAAAAAATAAAAATAGAAATAACCATATTTTTCAACAAGAGGCATTTCTTAGTACTTCTTTGCCATAGAATACATTTTCTCTTTAGAAGTTGTCTGATGGGAATTGTTAATATCTCCCTGTCTTTTTTAATTTCTCCCCTATACTCTCCATCTATACTGAACTTTCCTCAATCCCCATGTATTTAGGGGAAAAAAACCAACCCATCTCTGTATTATTGTCTCCATCTCAGAAAGAAAGGCAGCTCTTATCTGATAGACATGTATCTTTGTTCAGTGGTAAAGGCAAAACACAAACAGGGACAAATTCGGGTGATAATTTTAGGATTTGCCTACATCTACATCTTCAGCCTCCATTTAAAGTATAAACCAGATTTTATATTGCATGCACTGTCTCCTGGAATACAACCACCATTGCTGAGGATGGTTGATTCTATAAACTGAGATCCATTTCTAAGTTTTCAGCTCAATAAATACTTGGAATAGGCAAATTAATACAATAGAAACCTTATGAACTTTGGGATTTACAGACCTGCATTCAAATACCAGCTCCACAACTGAATATCTAAGAATATAAGAAAACTATGTGATTTCTCAACTTTAGGTTCATGTAAAAAAAAAAAAAAGGCAATATTATTTTCTATCTAATGGCTAGTTGGAAGGAGTAAATGAGAGAACATATATTAAGATGTATTGCACAGATCTGGCACAGAGCACGTATTTATACTGTGTTATTCTCTTTCCTTCTCCCATGTACTCACACCAGGCACTGGGCTAAAGATGAATAAGACATAGCCTGAAGCCCTCAGAGACAAAAACATCTTTTTGGTCTTTATATTTTTCTAGGTCATCCCTTGTTCTTTATTTCTGTTCCTTGGTATTTAAAGCTAATTTTAAAAGTCTCTCATCATCAAAATTTTTTCCACAGACACTTTCCATTTCTTTTGATAATTGCACCAGGGAATAAGGGGATTATAACAGCATGATTATGACCTTGATCATCCAGCAAGTATCACTGTCCCAGATTCAGAGGAGAACCTCCCTCTTTCACACCCTTACACTCCACTGTGTATTTACAGTTTAACAGGAAAGACAAGACTACAATCAAACCGTGACCTCAGTTTGAGATTACTTACGAGAAAATGCTAGAGTGAGTTTTCTACCTATGATAAAGGGTGTAAAAAATAATAGACTGGAGTCTTTAAGAATGGATTGAAGATGAAAAATCACTACCATAAGAATACAAATAAAGACTTAAGGTTGCCTTGATAATAGAGACTTGCAAATTGACTATATCTTGGTTGTTCACCGCAGCCCAGGATCTGGTTTTCTCCTCTAGAGTCCAAAAACTTGATTTTGTCCAAGTACTCACTGTGTGCCAGTCTCTTAGAGCTGATAAATGATGGCCCATCTCATGGGATCAGTGTGAGTGGGGGATGGAGAAGGCAGTAGTGTTTACTGACAATTAATCTTTATATATGCTCATTCTTCTGTATTATAACCCTTCCCAAGAGACATATCGTTCACTCACAATTGTTCACCATTTCCAGAACCAGAACCTCCTTGTCTGACAGTCAAGGAATTTTTTTTTTCCCAGTAACAAGGTATTCTGAATATTAAGTTGCTAATTGTGTTCAAGTTAATGTGTAAACAAGGAACTATTGATAATATCTTGGAGTATTTCTTCTATGCCACAGAGAAGCTTAAAAAACATACAAGTCAAGGTCACTTCACTACCTTTAGCTGAACCTCCAACATGGTTCTATAGCATTTTTTTTTTTTTTGTCTTCCTGGTTCTTTTCCCATAATCCAAGGCAGCTACTCAAAAATTTTACTATGCTCCCCAAACCCTTACCTACCCTTACACCTTTCTCTTAGCAAACATCCTCGTGTTCCTCTTGGCAGAGAAAATGGACCATTGACAGGAACTTTGCAGCCTCACAACTGTAAATATCCATAGGTACTTCTTTTCTTCTCTCTTTTCTTCCCATGTCCTCCCTTGTGAGCCAAGATTTATTCTCCTTTTCATCTAGTATATATTCCTTGATTTAATTCTTGTCCACTGCTCTACCATTTCTCTGCAACTCATCTCATGTCTGAAAAATCTAGTAGTAACCTCTCAGTCTTTAGCTGTAGCATTTGAAACAATTGAGTATCCTCTCCTCCCTGGATTTCACAGCTCCCTTGGCTTCTGGCTCCTCTCTTTCCTTTTCTTCTATACCCCCAGCAGTTACTTTTCATATATTTCAGTGGCTCCTCTCCCTGTATTTGCCCCTTAAATCTTATCTCCAGATTTTAGGCTCAGTTCTTTCTATGTCTGACAGAATATTCTCCCTGGGAGTTACCATGGCTTCCCTGACTTCCTTCATAGTGAGGGTCACCAGTGAGCCCCTTTTTGCTGGCTCCAGATCTGTATATCCAATGGATCACTAGCCACTCACTTCTTTACACCACAATTGTACTGTGTATACACCTCTACTATAGCACATCAGACTGTATTCCCACAATGGGAACTATTCCAAGATATTTATATTCCCGTTGTCTGGCACAGTTGAAGCATGGAGTAACAGTGATGAATGGAGCCTAGTAGGAAGATGATGTGGCAGATGAATTACACAAAGCAGATTCACAACACAATTATTAGGTGGCCATAGTAATGCTAATTCAGGGCTTGAAGCCACTTAGTTTGGGTATGGTAGCAGTGGAAAAAGAAAAGAAGGAATGGATGTGAGAGATTCTGAGAGCCGCTGTGTCATATCTCATAGTGAACAGAGAGGAAACAAAATAATAAGGATTTGTGCTAAACTACGTATTTGTGACCCTCCTTAAATCACTTCTGTAGTTGTATTTTAAGCGCCCCCAGCAGAACGTCGCAGTAGCTACTTAAAGGGGTTGAACTCTGGGGTCTGACAAATGTGAGTTTTAATGTCAGCCCTGGTGCATAGTGTGAATTTGCTCAAATTACTTCCCTTAATACTTAACTACATCGTCTGTCAAGTAAGGCTAGTGAATGTTGAAGCAGGTAATGGCTGTGCAGTACTGTCTTTAGAAGGTAAAAACACAATAAATGATAGATTTTTAAAATATTTTTCAGTTTGCCTCAGAACTGTTGTGTTGTTAGAAAGGCAAGAGGTTACCCTGTTAATCACCTAATCAAATTATAAAC